TACTTTCATAATTTGATTTGATAAATTCTATATAAAATTAAGGTAAATTTATAGTTTCAAAAATTGGATAATTTACAAGTAACTATTCAATATCTTTATTATTTCCTAATTATTTTGAAAAATAATTTGATTTAATTTATTAGACAAAAATAGGAGAGGTACTATTGTAGTAAGCTTGTCCAAACTATTGAGTAAGTTAAGATATTTTATTAGCTAATTATTCTAAGTTATCAATTTGTTTAGTTGTAAGTTTGCTAAAATCAATAGTTTAGCTTTTATTTTCTTTGAAAATTTCTACATTTAAAAATAAATGATTGATAATTTATGAATATTTCTAAATAGAGTTTTTTGCATTTTAAATAAAATAATCATGACAATAATTTGTTTTGTTTTCTAAAAGTGAAATCAGTTTTTATTGCTTTATCTTTATTTATTAATTTTATAGATTTTGATCCATATCATTCTAATTCTAGTTATTATTTGAAGTTTCTAATCTTTAAACAAGATCTGCAATTTCTAAAAGCTACAAATTATTTAGAAAATCTGCATTTATTGGAGTCTTGTTAGGTTGTAAGTAATCTTTGAAGTTAATTTTGTTAATTATAGGAAGGAAACTATCAAACTGAGCTGATAAATTGCTAAGAAATTATTCTGAACAGAAATTAAATTTATTTGATATTAATTTAATTAATTTATCTTTATTGTCACTTCTTTCATCTAATTCTTATTTACCCTATTAACATAAAATTGTAAAATTTAGTAATCATAATTTATAATATAATCTTTTAACGTTGAAAATTTAAAATTTATTTTGGGGTGGTAATTATGAAGTTATTAAAGATTGATTGATATGAAGTACATAAAATTAATATAGAAATATTACTGTTATGAAGCGTCTAGACAAGTCCTTAATTAAATTAAATTATTCATCATTCATCTTATCAAATTCCAATTCCAACAAATCTTCATTTAAAAGGTTTTTAATGTCAACTCTATCAATGCTGTTTGATAACTTGAACACTATTTTTTGTAGCTCTTTAGTTAACTCCTGCGAGCAACAATTTGATCTATTGCTAATTAGCTTAGCCATTAACTAGCTTGTTGTCATTTCATTTTTGTCTTTAGTTTAAATATCTTTTTCATACAATTCTAACTTTTCTTTTGAATTATCAATTTTGAGATCTTCAAAGTTTTTGATAACAAACATATCAATTGAATCAATTAATTGCACAATATTCTAATTAATACTTTCTGCTGTTTCAAAATTAATCATTGACTTTTAAGTTTCGAAGAAATCAATCTTTTCATTCAATTCTTCTTAATATTTTTTCTAGTTAGTAGAAATTCGAGTGAATAATTCTTTAAAAAGCTCATTTTACTTGTCAAGGTCATCTTTGAAATTGGTGATGATATTCTTAAGCTATTCCTTTTCGGCTAATTTATTATATTAAATAATTACCTGTTCATTTAAGCTCCATAATGACTTTGCTTAGCTCATCATCTGTTCTTCTTTAAGTATTATTTTTTGGTCGATTTATTTTCTTAAGTTTAAGAAAAAAGATGAAATTTTAGATAACAATCCATCAACAGAGCAATCAGCCTCAAAGATTTGCTTAAGTTTCTCGTAAAGCTCATTATCGCCATAAACTGGGTAGTTCTTAAAAACAGTTTTTTCATTTTCCTTAATAAGTCCAACTAAATTCAAATAATATTAATTGGGATTCTCAGAAAAACACTCAGCGCATTGAATGAATTGGCTAGAATTAGGATTAGTGCTTAACGAAACAATCCAGTTATCAGGATGTCTAGGGCAGCTTCTGTAGTTTTTGTTAGATAGGATGAAGAATTCCTCTTATTTGAGTTTAAGATCTTGGATACTTTAGATCTAATTCATTTTTCTTGCTAATTATGCTATTTCTTAATAAAATTACTTTTGGAAGAAGATATTTAATTAATTATTAATAAGCAAAACTTATATTAAGAAAATCATGAATATAGCAAGATGCCATTAAAAAATTCCGTCGTTTGGAATTAACTTAAAATGAAATAGATTTTTTAATTATTTACTAAAAAATCAGATTTTTATATTTTATAATAGAATTAAAATTAATATTTTAATTTATTATAATTTCAAAAATACATAATTTTTTTACATCAAAATTTTTAAATTTAGCTAAATTTCCTGTAGCGGGGTAAACAAAATACAGGATTTTGGGGCAATTTCTGTAGCGATTAAGACAAAAATAATAAATTTTATGTAAATTTTAATTTTTATATTAGAATATCATCCAATTAAATCATTTGATTAAGAATAGAAAGATAACTACAACTACAACAGCAAATAAAAATGTATTAGATATACATAAAAACACATACGTAGATAAAGTTAAGAAATAATTAATATTCAAATTAATAAATATGAGTAATTGCTTTTAATCATTCTAACATTTTGACAATTTTGTAATATAAAATATTCATTTTTTAAATCGATTTTACTTTACATTTTATAAAGATACTGTTCTGCTTAATTCTTCTAAATTCTACTTGCTCTGATCTTAATTATTCTAAGTAAAATATGTTGAGTGACATGTTTAATCTCTTTAATGCTAAGTAGAGTTATTCAAAATTACATTCAAAAGCAATATAGAGATTATTTGATACATTTTTTAGTGGAGTTCTCTTGACTTTTTTATAATTAATAGACATTGTCTATATGCTTTAAATAAGTCCTTTATAAAAGCATACTTTATCTTCTAATTTAATCGGCGTTAATACTATTCTGATATTTTAAAATAAAAAACTAGATTTAAAGAATGTTCTTAACATTTTTAGATAGGCTAATAATTCTTTGCTAAATCTAATTGCTAATTAAGGTCATTTATTAGGACTATTTTATTGATTATGCATTTATCTGATCAAGAATATAAATTCTGAATAAGATTTAATCTGACTTAGTGGTCTATCAGCTATTTTTAAAACTATTCTTCTAAATTCAAAAACCTTAATGAAGTATTTAGTATGATTGAATATTAGCTCTGCAATTTTAAGAACACCTTTATACTTTTTAATGAATAATTGTTTAAAAGTTATATTTAATATAAATAAATGCATTTAATACTCATTAATGATTCAGTTGATCAATTTTTGGTTTCTTCGAGCTTTTTTGTAAAGCTACTGCTTCTTATTTACTTAGAGATATTTCAGTAATCTATTACAAGATATCTTAGCTTTTAAACTTATTATGTTATATAAAATAACTATTTTTAGATTCTTAGTTTTCTTATAAAGAAGACCATTGAAAATAATTAATCTCTTCTTATGAGTTTTAATAATATTTATTACTTATTCAAAAGTAATTAATTAATTAATCAATCAATCAATCAATCTTTATTATCTTATTAACTTAAATGAAAAAATTAAAGAGATATTGAAAAATATATATTATTTATTATTTAGCTTTTATAAATATCAAATAGATGTATTTTTAATTCACTATTTCTTGTATTTAATTTATAAATTTAATGAATTTACTTGGAAGGAACTTGATATTCTAATTAATATATTACCCTATATTTTAAATGGAATGACTGATGTTTTTTTATATATATTTAATAATCAAATAATTTTATTATTAATTTCAAAACTGATATTTTACTTTCAAAGCTATTCTTTTGTTCTAGATTTTTGTTCAAATATTTAAATAAATAAATAATATAAATTAAAAAAAATGTTTTTTTATTTATTTTTGTATTCAAATAAAAATTTAAAACTTAAAAATACTTTAAATTATTTTTAAAAAATATTTAAAAGCAATTTTTTTTAATTTTTGCATAAAATTTTTAAATAAATAAATATTTTGATGACATTCTTAAAAACTATTTTTCATTTAATATATCAAACTTTATCAGAAAATAAATTATCTATATAAATATACACATAATCTTTAATTTAATTAATTATGTTTATTTCTAAATATTATTTTTTAGTATTGCAAAGTGCTTTAACTAAATATGTACTAACTTTGTATTTATTTACTTATTTATATTTGTCTAACACTAATAAATGAGGAGAATGCAGTATAAAAATATGAAAAATTTAATAATTTAATTTATTATTTGTTCTCCTTAATTTCTTAATTTGGTAGAATGTAAAAGAATTTTTGAGATATAAAGGCTAATAAAGATCAAAATTTTTATAAAGCAAATTATTTAAATTAATTCAAAAAGATACAGAAAAATATGAGTGAAAAAATAGTAAATTACTAAGATCTTCCAATTGTAATTTTAAAATAAATTATTAATGGTAATAACTGAATTTTTTAATGAAAAGCCTAAAAATTCCTTTTTATCAACTTAAAATAGACTTTAGATATCTATGAAGTAAACATTTTTAAAATTCATTTAGTTTATAACAAATAATTATTTTCAATTCTTTTAGTGGAAAAAAAGTTAGTAATGAAGAGGTATAGATAGTAAGTTAAAGCTTATAAAATTGCATAAATCTTTAATCTTTGATATTGAATTTCAAATAATGCAAAACTATTGGTGAGAATATTTTCTCATGTTTAGGACCTGCCTTAGCAACTTGCACTAAACTTGCACAATTTTCAATTAATTTTAAGTAAAAACTAATTTGTGAAAAATTTTCTTAGTTAAATTGATTTGCCTTTTAATGATAATTAAAAAAAATTATAATAAAATTATTCAAATTCAAAATTTTCTAAAAATGATAAAAGGTGAAATATATTTCTAAACAGAAAATGTTATTTTATTCAGCTATTTTTTGTTAATAATTAATATAATTTATCTATTAGTTATATCTAAAAAATATTAAAAATATATTTTCTTAACAGCAATAGCAATAATATAGATAGTAGCTTATTTTAGAATTTAGGTATTGGGTTTGTAAGTTGTACTAACCTCTCTATAGTCACCATTAATTTGAAGTAATAAAATATTATTATAAACTAAAATTTAAGTTATTTCTTTTCAACATAATTATATTTTTTAATAAAAGCTCACTTGCTTTTATGAATAATTGGATTAATCCTTCATTCTATAAATTTACTTTTTATTTATATTTTCAAAAGCAATGTTAAATAAATAAATCCAAAATATCTGTACAGCTTAGGCTTCGCTATAGGATAATGCAATAGTCTTACCTAATTAACGATAGACTTAAGGTAAAAATAGCATTTTTATTTTTATTTTAAGCTTTTATGATTATTTTAAATATTTTTTTTTAATTTTTAAAGCAACAATAAATTAAGTGACGATACTATTTTATCAATCTTAGGAACTAACTTAGCTAGTCTTATAAATCTTTCTAGGTTATCTATCAGCTTAAAGTGATTTATTAAAAGTTTTTATATCTTTTAGAAATGTTTTTCTTAATTTTTTTGTATATTTAGAAATAATAAATTTGGAATAAATGGAGTGTCAAGCTTTGTTTCTAGTTTAGTTAATTGTGTTAATCTGACATCCCTATTTCTTTAGCTCTAGTAAAATTAATAAATGATATAAGTTTTTTACTTAATTAATTACTAATTAATTATCTATTGTTTTTCTAATAAAAATAAACAAACTGTTAAGCAAGCTACAAGTTTTCTGAATTAGTTTTATAATTTTATAAAAAATATAAAATAAGGACAAACAACAGTTTTGGTTAAGGCACTTTAGATTTTGGTTCTGGATTTTATAATCTTACTTCCTTGGAATTCTTTATTGGGTTCAATTTCTTTATTTATTGAAATTTATTAAATCTTTATTAATTTTATTAGTTGACTTAAATTTTTAAAAAGTCACTATTAATTTAAATTCAAAACGATTACTGTAGATCCTCGAAAATTATTATCCAAGAGAAATAAACATTATTTTAAAAATCATAAACAAAAACCTCGATAAATCGAAAATTTTTTGAATTTGCGGGTTGCGAGTTAACGAGGTTTTACGGTATCTAAATAACTTGTAAATATAATTTATTTATAAAGTATTGAAGTCAATTATCTTGCATTAAAAATATTGATTATGCTTGCTTCTAATAAAAATTTCAATTTTAATTTTGATGGAGAAAATGATTAAAATGAAAATAAATGATCATTTATGTTGTTTGATAATTTCAATAATTTTTTTGTTTAAATAATGGTAGAGGCTCCACATTTTATGAGTACATTGAACTTGGGCTATTTAATGGATTATCTTCCTGCATTAATCTCTAAGACTTGAATCTTTAGTTATAGTATAAAATATATTTATTTTATTAATTATCCATATAATGAATGGGATGACTATTTTATTTAAAAAGCGGTCTTAGTAAATAAGATAGCATGTACTTAATATCTAGTTTAAGAAGCATACCTAAACTTCAAAAATTTATTGGTAATTTGTAAGTATTTATTTACTATTTTTTCAAAAGGCTTATCTATTTAAATTATCAAACTAGCTAATCATATTAATACGATGAAGAGTTTGCTTAATATATTGGATCTGAATTAGGAAGCTACTAAAAACTTGAGTATTTAGACTTGGAATATAAGTATGAAATATAAATTACTTTATTTTTACTTTAACTTTGTTAATAATTTCAATCATTCAAACTAAGATTAAAAATAAATTATTTTAATTTATTTAAACAAAAATAAAGTTTGAATTTATTATTAAAATATATTTTAAATTCAAATAAAGTTATAAAAAGCTTTTATTATTATTATATCATCAATTTGCTATCAAAAAATTGAAATCCTTTCCTATTTATGTATTAATTTTTTTTGCAAATATATTTTAAATTAGTTTTAAAGTCAACTTTGAAAAATCTATCATAAACCTTAGCTCTGGATTGTCAAATTGCCCTAATCTTTCTATCTTAAAATTATAACTAGGGTAAATCTATATATTAATTTGGAAATTAAAATACAATTAACAATTAAATATATTTAATAATTCTATTTGCTTCTTATATTGATAAATAAAATTACTTATTTTAAATTAATTGTAATTTATATTTATCATTTATTAAGTTTGATAAAATATATTTTTTAATTTATTTATTTATTTATTTAAATATATTAGTGGATCAAATGATGAAGTTAGATATGAGACTACTTCAGCATTTACTTAAAATTTAGCTAATTGTCCTAAACTCTCCGATTTGTAGCTTCACATTTGGTAAAAAACATATTTTTTTAATTAATTTTTTTAGTAACTAAAATATTATTTACTTTCTAATTAAATTTTAAGATTCTATTAAAATTTTTAAAAACTATTTTGGTTTTAAGTGATAATTAATTATAATAATAACAACTAAAATTATTAAAGGACTCATAATGATCATAAATTAGCTGATGAAAGTGTGAAAGGCTTGGGTTTTGGATTAGCAAATTGTAACAATCTCATAACTTTAAAACTTAATTTAAAGTAAAAATATAAAAATCTTAAAGTTTTTAATAAATTTACTATTTTATGTTCAAGCAATAAACGAATTGGTTCTTAAGGTATTTCAGGTTTATTTTCTAGCTTAGAGAAGTGTTAAAAGTTATCAATTCTAAATGTTAATTTGAGGTAAATAAAATACAATTTTTTAAAATACTTTGACAATCTTAATTTACTAATTTATAATAATTTCATTTATATAAATATTCAAAATAGCTTAAACCTTTAGCATCTAATAAAATTTTTAACAAATAACTAAATTTTTTTACTATCTAAATTTTTAAATATGAATTAATTTAAATTTTACAATTTATAAGTTGGAACAAAATTTGCTTTGAAGGTGTAAAAAGTATTGGTGTTTCCTTGACAAAGTGTAAAAATCTCACATGTCTCTAATTAAATTTACAGTAAAAATATTTGTTATTTCTTATTTTCTTCAATCAACTAAATAAATTTTTATTTTATACAAATTTGCTTTATATTTTATATTCAAATAATTTTATTAAAATTTTAACAATCCATAAGAAAAAACAAATGCTAAAATATATTTGGATTTAATTTTATCTAATCATTTATTAATATTGAAATTAAATTTAATATTTTTCTTTGAATATATAAAAAAATCAAATATATCAAGCCTTTTAGTTTTTAGAGTATATTAAATATTTTTTTTTAATAATCCTTTAATTTTAAATTAATATTGTATTTATTTATTCCTTTAATTTCCTTTATTTTAGATAAATTAATGATGAAGATAATTAATTAGATGAAGATAACAAATAATACTTCAAAAGGATTGTTAATAAAATAAAGAGACTAGTCAAATAATCATTAAAATTTTGAAATAAATATAAATAAAGAGTAGATAGAATATAAAATATGTATTTTTTATATTTGTAACTTGTAACAAAATAATTCATATAACTTAGAATAATTATGTTTTTCTAACTTTAAACATTTTTTAATTATTTTTAATACAAATAAATGAAGTTAACTTGTCAAAAATAAAGTATAAACAAAGCTTTTCAATTAAAAATAACTCAGAAATTATTTTTTTACATAAATGGAAAATATCCATTTTATAAATTTATAAAATAGTAAATCTTATATTTCATTTCATTTAATTTCTATTATTTATTTTATTAAGGGTTTTCATTTTTTCAAAATATTTGAATTAGTACTTACTTTAAAGCAAAATATAAAAACGATTTTAACAATAGTCTGATAATATGATTTTATATTAAAAAAGAGGCTTATTGATCATTAAATACATTTCTTTGAAAAATAATAAATAGATGAATAATTAACCATAGGTATTTCAACTTTCAATCAGTAAAAAAAATAAATTATTTTTAATAGTTTTTATCATTTATATTATTAATAAAAATGTAAAAATATTTATTCTTGATTATTTTAAAAATTTTACATTAAAATATAATGAATAAATAAATAAAAAGAGATATTAAATTAGTTTAAGTCATCTTTTTTAAATCATTATTTATCTGACTGATAGATAAACCTTTGTATCTGTATAAATATTACAAACGGTAAAAAGGAAATTATTTTATTTAAATAAAAACTGATTAGTTTGCTTTTTGTTTAATGAATTAAATAATTTAATTTATTTATTTGTTTTTTTTTAATCTAAATAAATTAGGCATAAATATGAAAGAAGATAATTCAATTTTAATTTGCTTAGAAATAATATGAAAGAAATTAAAAATAAATATTATTTAGAAATTTATAATTAAAAATCTTTTAAAATTTATAATTAGTTGATAAAAAAAGAAAAATGGTAACATTAGATTAAAATTTAATAAAAAGTAATTAATTAATAAATTATAGAATGTGATATTTAACAAATAATTTTAGAATTTACTACTTAATTTTCATTTTATTTTTTTACTTTTTAAAAAAGAAAATCTAAATAAAAATTATAAATTTATCCTAAATAAAATATAATTACATAGTATTTTAATTATTATTTTTCATAAATAAATATTTAATTTGTATTTATTTAAATCTTTTAATATTAAATTTACGAGTTAAATATATAACTATATAACTAAATATTATTTTTTAGCAAACTCAATAAAAAAAATATCAATCAAAAAAAATAACTTAATTAAAATTAACTGATTTATTGAGAGATGATAGTAAGTAAATAAATAAATAAATAGAGAGAGAATTTAAAAATAAGAATAAATATTGATTTTAGGCTAAATTTTCAGAAATTTTGCTGATTACTTTGCTTTTAAAATTAAAAACAGACAATACAATTAACTTTTCTTTATAAGTTCTTAGTTATCCAAAATTAGAAGGTACTCTCATTTTCTTATATCTATTAGAGTATTTGAAATTAGGAAATTATCTTGTAGATTAAAAATTTAAGAAATTAAAATCATATTAATTTCCTATTCCTTCCTTAAAATTATTTCAATTTTTTGAAAAATAATTTTTAAAATAAATTGATTCACTTATTGAAATAACTGATGAAATATCTCCATTAAATAAATACCTAACAAATTTTTTATTATAATTTGTGTTGTCATTTAAAACTTTTTATGGCTTTATTTATATTATTTTCTCTCAATTATAACTTATCTTTATATCATTTAAAACAACTTTTATCAATATTGATAAAATAAAAAAATCAATTTCATAAAATTTAGTTGACATAATATTTTTAAAATAATAAATAAGTTAACAAAAAAGATATTGAATATTTTATCTAGCTTGTAATTTTGCTTATTAGATAATAACCTTATTAATTTAAAATTAGCATTACTTAATAAGTATGTTATTTTTGCTATTTTATTTTATTATCAGCTTTTTAAGAATTTCATTAGGTTATTTCTAAAAATTTCACTCTCTTTATGATTTAATTATTTGTTATTATGAATGAATCTCTTCAATTTTATCTTTCTTTCTTTCTTTATTTGCTCTTCATATCTAGATTTTAAAAGGGAACATAATTTAATTAATTAATACTTTGATGATTTACAGACAGTAATATTTATGAATAAACTAATGTTTTCTCTTATTTGAGCATCTTGTATGATGATTACATTATATAAAAATAATTATTCATATAAAACCTAATAGGATTCTAAATATGCATTTATGATAATTAAAGTAAAATAAATGCTATGATTGATTTTATTGGTAAGATTAAAAATATTCAGGAAAGCAATAAGCAATCTTTAAAACAGATAAAAGTAGTTTTTGAATTCCGAAATCTCATTTCAAAGAATTTTTAATCTATTAGTATAATTAATATATTAACAAGTAATCTTAAAAAAAATTGTTACAAGAATAAATATATTTATCCTACCTACATTCCTATCGACTAAAGGTATTATTCTCCAATTCATTTTGTTTTATACTTTTTATATAATAGGTAAATAGATAAAAACAAACAAAGAAAAAAACAAAAAAATGTTTTATTTAGTTATAATTTTTGGAATATTGATAGGATTTTAATTGGACTCATTAAATTTACTTCTCTTTCCTTGTAGGAAAATATGTAATTAATTTACTATCATTTTTAATTTTCTAAAAACTTAATAAAAGAAATTCATAAAATTTCCTTGTCAGAAAAATAAATCAAAAATAAATAAATAAATAAATAAATATTTCTTACCTTTTTAAAACAATTAAAAGGTTAAAAAAAATACAAAAAATAAAATAAAATAAATGGGCTAAGTAATAAAAAAATACTTTAATTTAAATTCAAATAATTATTATATTAGATTATTTATGCTTGGAGTTAATGCTTCTGGTAGGACGACAATGCTTTATAAACTTAAAACTGGACAAACTCTAAAAGTTAACCCAACTGTTGGTTTTAATGTTGAGGAAATTATGTTTAAAGACAAAGTATTTAACTTTATGGATGTTGGAGGTGGATATAAAATATATGATAATTTTCATAAATATGCGATTGGCAGTGATGCTATAATTATAGTTGTTGATTCCTCTTATCTTAGCTATGAATTTTACGAAAATCTACTTTAAAATACGCTTAAAAGTTGCTTGTAAGAATTGGTGAATTCAAAAAGAATAAAAGATAC